TAAAATAGTATATTCCTTTTCGCTATTAATTTATTTTCTTCATAGTCCTAGCCCAATGCCTTGAGTCACTCAAAACCGGTTACTGAATGAAAGCACCGAGCTGGTCTGAAGAACTGATTCCACTTCTAGAATCATCAGCAGATTCCTAAAGACAGAATAAAACCAGGACTCATATGAACTAAATGTACTAAATACCCTCCTCAGATGTCAACAGCTTTTTTTCAAGTAAGTGAAAGTATTTTTCCAAATCATACTCTACCTTCATATGAAAAAACAATTTCAGGAAGTTTTATAGATTAGTCTATCAATAAAAATTAAGAACCAGAACCAAGGGTTTGATCCCTGTACTGGCCAGCCACCAAAAATATAAATAAATAAATAAATACAAATTTTAAATAAAAATTAAAAATTAGAATTATGTAACAAAAGAGAAAAGAGTTCATTTAAGCAAACTCTTCTACCTTACAGAATGCTAGCAATCAATTCTTTACTGCAGGGGCCTCCACACTGAGGCCTTAATTTTGGAGAAGAACCATGTTACAGTGACAGAGAGGAGTCAGAAAACCCAAATTTTACATATACCAATTAGCTGTGTGACCACAAATTAAGTCTGTGAAGGTAAACACTATTTCCCTATGTCAGAACTCCTGGCAGAATACAAACTGTTGCACATGTGTATTTGAACCACATTCCCTCAAAAGGCTACACACCCTAGAAGTCTTTTACATCAATACCTTATAATGATATAATTATGTTATCATTTATAATTTATATTTTATATATAATTTATAATAATGTCATTGTAAAAATACAAATATAACTCAGCTATTCTTCCCCTAAGGCTGTAGAATTAATTGCACTATAAAATAGGGTAGCTGCTAGCCACATATGGCTGTTTAAAATTAAATTTTAACTTAGTGAAAAATTCCAATCTTTATTTACATTAGCTACAATTTATGTGCTTAAGTGCAAAACAGTACAGAATACATTTTTATCATCAAAGATACTGGACAATCCTGCTCTAGAAATGTGCCCACAGTGGGGGCAGAAGTTGAGGCCTGGGCTGGGAGAAATGCTGTTGACTCCAAATGTTTTCACAGGTAACTTCTTTCTCTCCTGTGCTGGAAGGGCTCCTCTTGCTCGAAGGGGAAAGGAAAGAAATTATTAGTTTTTGAGCACCCCCCATGTATTATAACTTACCTTGTTTAACTTACAACAAAACTACAGAAAAGATGGTACTCCCTTTTTACAGTTAAAAATATTAAAATTCTGAGAGGTTCCATAGCTTGCCCAATCCACACAGTAAATGGCAAGGCTGATTCAAACCAGCCCCAACTCCAAAACTTAGGATCCTCTTTAGCAGTAAATTGCTTTCGTTTGAGGAATTTACTTTCATTATCTTGAGATATTCCCCACTTCCTCCCTCCACCTGTAAATCTCACCTTCTTTTTCTTCAAGTACTTGGGTCAAATCCTCTATTAGGGTCACTACCTCCTCGCTACTCTCAGGATGTTGTGACTTTACCCAAATCCTCATCTCCCCAGGCAAAATGGTCAGGAACTGCTCAAACACCAAAAGCTCTAAAATTTGTTCTTTTGTGTGAATGTCTGGTCTCAGCCACTGAATGCAGAGCTCCCAGAGTTGATTCAGGGCTTTCCTGGGTCCAGCTACTTCTGAGTAACAAAACCACCTGAATCTCTGTCTGAAAAACTCTGGGTCAGCAGTGTTGCCTCTTAAGACAGTTTCTTGAACCCCAGGAGTATCCATTCTTAGGACCTTGTTTTGTTCACTTGAGGCCAGAGTTTGAGGATCTGGGGAGATGGTTGTCATCTTGTTCAAGGGTACTACAGCTTGCATCATGTATCACCAGCAGGAATCCAGTCCCCTTTAGACTCAGTACAGTGTATCAATAAAGTCCACCAACAGGGACTCTACGCAGCCAAAATATCAAGGTTCCAGGAATTCAGTCTTGCAGAAACTGTCAAA